GTTTTACAAATCCCAATGTTCAAACAATCCATAAAATAAATGATATTAGAATCTTTGGGACTTGCACAACTTCCCCATCAATCGCCAGTAATTGTGAGGTAGCCAAAATCGAAAGTCACAGTATTAAATAATGAAGCCTTACATTTCATCCAGTCTGTGCTTTGAGATCCTTAGTCCTGTGAGTTATGAGATATGACTATAATTAGGAGAAAGTTCTTGAAGGGTCAGGATATAGGAGATCTTGAAAGGTATAAAATAAAAATATTTATTTGCTGCAGCCAACATGGCTGACCCGAGTTCGATTCCTCCGCCCCTCTCGGAGAGCCCGGCAAGCTACCGAGAGTATCTCGCCCGCATGGCAGAGCCTGGTAAGCTCCCCGTGACGTATTCGATATGCCAGACACAGTAACAACAAAGTCTCCAATGGAGACGTTACTGGGCCCGCTCGAGCAAATCGATGATCAACGGGAGGGCCTTTACCTTTACCTTTACATAAAGTCAGCAACAAGGAGTCCTGGCAAGATTGATGGCATCAGTGTTGGACACAACAAATAAGCAGGTTTAGAAAGGAAAATGGATAGAGTGAAAAACAAATTGAAGATATCCTATGAGATTGGATAGTGGGTATGAAACTTTCCTTGCAGGTGGCAAACCCAGATTCAAAACTCAGTACCACATGTGTTCTGTGAACTGTTCCAGGAGTAATCCTTAAGCACAGAAAAAAGCGTAATCCACAGGCACAGCAAGGTGTGGCATCCCCAAATATTAAACTGAAAAATATTGGAAGTAGGTTCCTTGAGAATATCAGAAATTTTTACAATGGGGCCAATAAATAGTTTCATATCATCACAGAAAGCGTTGATAGATTTTATGTATTATTTTCTGATATAAGAAAATTTAAAACAAAGGAAAGGGTGTTGGGAGGATCCTCCCAAGATGGGAGAAGCATGCTGAAAGTACACTATAGACCGAACAGGATTGCCTCTTAATGCCTCTTTTGCAAACCACAGCACCCCAAAGGAGAGAGAGAACAAAAGGGAATGCCCTGCCACAGAGGCAGGGTGGGATGCGGGGGTTGGGGGGGTGAGAGGGATACTGGGATCATTGGTGGTGGAGAATGGGAACTGGTGGAGGGATGAGTACTCGATCATTGTATAAATGAAACCCAAGCACAAAAATTTGTAAGTCTACAACTTTACCTCATGGTGCTTCACTAATAAAAATTTTATTCGTCAATTGCCTCGAGCAGGCCCCAGTAACGTCTCTTTCATCCTAGCCCTGAGATTATATTCAAGGCTCTTTAGGAGAATGAGACCCATCGTTGTTACTGGTATTTGGCATATTGGATACGCCACAGGGAGCTTGCCAGACTCTGCTGTGTGGGCAGGCTACATTCGATAGCCTGCCAGTTTGTCCAAAGTAGGAATGAGATAATAAGATGTCATAATAAGATGTCACGAGGCCGCAAATGTGGCCGCGCGGTTCCGGAAACTGGTTTTTATAGTCTCTGAGTCTTGGCCGTTGATGGGATTACACGGCGCCAGGGGGCCAGTTGGTGGATGTGACCCCCGCCTACTGGAATTTGGAGGATCTGGGTGGAGGATGCTCGGCCCCAATCCGAGTAGGCTTGGAGATCTCAACCCCGTAACCCGTGTGGCTTTGTCCCTCTGCCAGTACCTTCATGTGTGCGGAGAGTGATCTCAGCATGGTGGTGGCTGGTCCTGGAGGTCTTCGACTCCCGGAGCCCTGGTCGGGGCGGGGAGGAAAGCTCAACTCGCTCCCCTCCAAGGGGCCCTGGCGAGGACAGCCAGGCGCGGGGGCAGGAGACTGAAAAAAAAAAATAAATAAAATAAAAAAAAATTAAAAAATTTAAAAAATTTAAAAAAAAGGAAAAATACAAGTGCTTCAGTAGTAATAGTAAGACCACAATCCTAGATCCTCTGGATCTTTCATTAATGACAGCAGTTCTTCTAAACCTATATATTGCTTGTATTACAAAATTCGGCTGCAATTCTTGGAGGAAATGTAAAGAACATTATATTTAATTTAATTATAAAAACTAAAATAATATAAATTCTATGAATTTCTAATGCATAATTTGTTTATAATCATAATAAAGGGCTGGAGCGATAGCACAGCGGTAGGGCGTTCGCTTTACAAGCGGCCAACATGGCCGTCCCGAGTTCGATTCCTCTGCTCCTCTCGGAGAGCCCGGCAAGCTACCGAGAGTATTTGATATGCCAAACACAGTAACAACAAAGTCTCCAATGGAGACGTTACTGGGCCCGCTCGAGCATAATAAAGGCTTGAAATATAGGGCAATGCCACTTTATAATGGTTGAACAAATAAGTCATGTAGGACACTTTCTATTTTAATTTTTTTGGATTTTAAAAAATTGAATCACAGCAAGATACACAGTTACAAAGTTGTTCATGATTGGATTTCAGTCATACAATATTCCAACTCCTTTACTTTCACCAGTGCACATTTTCCACCACCAGTGTCCCCAGTTTCCCTCTTGGCCACCAACCCTTCCTGCCTCTAAATAAATCAGTTTTCTTCCCTCTCCTCCCTCACTCACTCTCTTTCTTTTGGACCTTATGGTTTGAATTACAACTACTGAAATGTTATCAGGTATATCCCTTTACCTACTTTCAACACTCAGTTCCTGTCCAAAATGATCATTTTCAACTATTATTGGCATACTTGTCCCTTATCTAATATAGGATACTTTTGTAAAAAAGATAGAAAAACCTGGTTTCAAATCTAGAGATTCCAATTTAATTGATCTGATGTGTATCTGTAATGTTAACATTCTGGGGCTTTCCACACAATTCTCATTATAACTACCATTGAGAACCACCAAAGAAAACTAAGACTTTTGCCCATCTTGCATAAATTGGGTATCCTCAAAATGTATAGTTTATACAAGTAAGTTGAGTCTTAATTTCTATACAAGTTAAATTATTACAGTTCTACTTTCCTGAAAAATAAGTTGTAGTGAGCTTGTATAGCCTTGGATCTAGTCCTTAGCTTTACATCAAGTTCAGAATATTCAGAGTTGACCAGCCTTAAATAAGAGACTATGCACACATCAAAATTGGAAGATGCTGATAAATAAACAAGGAACTAGAAAAGTGTCACTTTTTGTAGTTTCTTACAAGTTTTCTAATGATTACAAAGTTCCTTACCCATCAGCAGTTACCTAAGTTCTCCAGAAGAGAATCCTGGTGATCTATATTTTAAACACTCCCAGGTGATTCTTATTAGAGAAGCATGACAGCCATAAAATGACCTTTTATTAGGAGAAGATTTCTGTTTACAATTCCCAAATTTAAAAAAAATCTCCTTATAGGGTATAATATTTGGGTATCAAATCATATGGAAAACAAAATCATAATCAGAAGGTGACAGCATAAAATTAAATCCCAAAGAGTATAGTTTACCAGGAATTACTTATTCAGACTTTGGCACAATCTACTGAATTCTCTTGGAACTAAAATAAAGTATGTCAATAGTGAGTAAAGTTCTCATGTTGTTCGAAGGCAACATATTTCTCTCCCCTTCACAGTAATGTTGTGTATATAGGAATAATTTCAGCTTGAATAAGGCTAATACACATTTAGTATCCTTTAGATGAATTGATGTTTGATTTAAAATATAGCAAATAGTCTTGCTTTTCACTAAAATCTCTGCAGTCACAAATATACTGCATTCTTTCTAGGTTTGTATTTTTTTCTATGTGACTTTTGGAATGTATAAATTTCTTTCCAACTAAAATATATGCCCTCACCTTCCAAGTCCTCCTAGGAGTGATTCCTGAGTGTTTGTGACAGCCAGGAGTAAGCTCTTAGCACTGTCAAATGTGGTCCGAAACCATTTTTTTTTTAAAAAGAGGGGCCTGAGCCATAGTACAGTGGGTGGCTTACTTTTCTTCTATGGCCAACCCTAGTTTAATCCCGGGCAGCCTATATGGTGCCCTGAGCCTTCTGGGAGTGATCCCAGAGCACAGAGCTAGGAGTAAGCCCTGAGTGCAGATGGGTGTGGCACCAAACAAAACTAAACAAAAACTAAGAAAAAAAAGAAAAGGTGAAAGAATCATGAAAGTAAGAAAAATCTTACAAAATATCCCCTGCTTCAAATTCTACCTAAGAAACTAACTAGGAAGCAGCAGCAGTTCTTAACTCCTTTGAAGTGGTAAGTAATAGTATTGTTTTATAATTGTTTTCAGCTTTTATTCTGAGTGAGGCTCACTGAACCTTTCTCTTTTCTAAAATCTGTTTATTTAATAGCTTTTGATAAACTGATCCACTATAATGATTTATAGGTTAAGTGAATAAATTTACTTATCTTTAATTTTAGAGCTGTTTCAAATATTGGTTGGGTGGAAAACTAGAGGCAAAGAAAAATAAGGTGTTAAAGTGGCAAAGTTGGTTAGACATGCTAAATTTGAGGTGCCTGCTACACTTGCATGTAGTGATAATAAATAGATTACAGTGTCTTTAAAAATAGGCCATGGCTGGAGAAGCAGTGTGGTAGTGTTCAGAGAATTCTATTGATCACTGGCCCTATAACTGTGACCAAGTCATCTGATTTTTCTGAGACTTCTCTTTCTATTAGGATACCCACAAATTAATTAATGCATTGTCAGTTCTTTGCTCGAGCGGGCCCAGTAACGTCTCCATTGGAGACTTTGTTGTTACTGTGTCTGGCATATCGATAGCACAGCGGGTAGGGCGTTCGCCTTACAAGCAGCCAACATGGCCGACCCGAGTTCGATTCCTCCGCCCCTCTTGGAGAGCCCGGCAAGCTACCAAGAGTATTGGATATGCCAGACACAGTAACAACAAAGTCTCCAATGGAGACGTTACTGGGCCCGCTCGAGCAAATCGACGATCAACGGGAGGGCCTTTACCTTTACCTATTGTCAGTTCTTATTCAACTATGTATTATAAGTATAGCCATGTTTATCTTTTTGACTTGAACTCTTCTTTTTCAGCATTTATTATGAGAAACTACGTTTGTCAGATTTGTCGTATTACCTTTACATCTTTAGAAACGTTCCGATACCATATGCAAGAAATTGAACATCACATTAAGTAAGTAGTTTTTGCTAAAATGTCCCTATGATATAAAAATCAGGACTTCTGTCAAATACCCTTGCATATATTTTATGAAATTTCTAGGCATTCATTACCCTATGACTTGATTCTTGATATGGTTGGCAGTATTCATAACACATTACATAACATTATCAGCCCCTATGGAGTTTTCTGGCCATGTTAGTGTACTAACAGAACTGGCTACCTGAAACCCATTTTGATATGGCAGCATTCTCAAGCTAACCTTACAAATTCGAATATTCCCTGGAAGATTGGTTCAGTTTCAGGGATTTGGTAATCCTGTTATTATCCTTCCAGTGAGGAATAGCAGTTAAATTAAGGGTTTTACTGTTAGGCAGACCTGAACTAGAATACCAGATCTATATTTAAGACAGAGTGTGTACCTCTGGACAGCTTCATTATAAAGTATTTATAATAAATTATATATAAGGCTCCTGACCTGGCATATAGCTTAATAAATGTTTACTCCATTACATTCTGTTATGTTAAGGAGACAATTTTTGAGGACAACTGTGAAGTAGATACGTCAAAAAGTAAGACAGAGAATCATTTAACTATTGTGTATTTGATTCTTTTTTCTTTTTAAAAATCAAAGGATAATATTTTTTCACAGTATTTTATTCTGATATAAAATAATACTATTTGAGTCTGAATAGTCAGGAACTAAGCTTGCTTAGCCAAATTTAACCCTTTTGAGAATTTAAAAAAATCTTGTGATCACAGAATTAATAGTTATATGTACATATCTTCATAAAATTGAAGATATTGAAATTGAGTCATGAAACCTGTACAATGTGATGTTCCACTCAGATCATTTTTTCCCCTTTATTTTATTTTATTTTTTTTACAGTTGTAGATTTACAATTTTTTGTGCTTTGGTTTCAATTATACAATGATCAGATACCCATCCCTCCACCAGTGCCCATTTTCCACCACCATGGATAATATCCCTCCCACCCCCATCCCCCCATCCCCCCTGTCTCTGTGGCAGGGCAATCCCCTGTGTTTTCTCTCTCCTTTTGGGTGTTGTGGTCTGCAAAAGAGGCATTGAGTGGCAAACATGTTCAGTCCATAGTCTACTTTCGACATGCATCTCCCCTCCTGGGAGGATCCTCCAAACATCCTTTATGTGGTGCTCCCTTCTCTATCTGAACTGCCCTTTTCTCTAGGATACCCGGCTGGCCTCTAAGTTATGGAGTAATCCTCCTGGTGCTGATCTCAGCTATTCTTGGGTATTAATCTCATACTTTGTTACTTTATAACCCCCAGATGAATGCAATCTTTCTATGTCTATCCCTCTCTTTCTGACTCATTTCGCTTAGCATGATACTTTCCATATTGTACCACTTGTATGTAAATTTCATGACTTCATCTTTTCTAACAGCTACATAGTACTCCATTGTGTATATGTACCAAAGTTTCTTTAACCAGTCATCTGTTCTTGGGCATTCAGGTTTCTTCCAGTTTCTGGCTATTGTAAAGAGTGCTGCAATGAACAAACAAGTGCAGATGTCACTTCGACTATACATTTTTGCCTCTCTGGGATATATTCCCAGGAGTGGTATTGCTGGGTCAAATGGGAGCTCAATTTCTAATTTTTTGAGAATCGTCTATACTGTTTTCCAGAAGGGCTGAACCAGTGGACATTCCCACCAACAGTGAAGGAGTGTCCCTTTCTCGCCACATCCGCGCCAGCATCGGTTGCTTTTGTTCTTTTGAATGTGGGCCAGTCTCTGAGGTGTGAGATGGTATCTCATTGTGGTTTTGATCTGCATCTCCCTGATGATTAATGATGTAGAGCATTTTCTCATGTGCTTTTTTGCCATTCGGATTTCTTCTTTGAGAAAGTTTCTGTTCATTTCATTGCCCCATTTTTGGATGGGGTTGGATGTTTTCTTCTTGTGGAGTTTAACCAGTATTTTGTATATCCTGGATATCAACCCCTTGTCAGATGTGTATTCGGTGAATATCCTTTCCCATTCTGTAGACTGTCTTTGTATTTTGGTCACTGTTTCTTTGGAGGTGCAGAAGCTTCTTAGTTTAAGATAGTCCCATTTATCTATCTCTGTTTTCACTTGCTCGGCCAGTGGCGTGGCATCTTTGAAGATACCATTCGCTTCAATGTCATGGAGGGTTTTGCCAACTTTATCTTCAATGTACCTTATGGTTTCTGGTCTGATGTTGAGGTCTTTAATCCATTTTGATCTTACTTTTGTACATGGTGTTAGGCAGAGTTCTGAGCCTATTTTTTTGCATGTAGCCGTCTAGTGATGCCAACACAATTTATTAAAGAGGCTTTCCTTACTCCACTTCACTTTACTTGCACCTTTATCAAAGATTAGATGAGCATATGTTTGAGGGGAGATGTCAGTGTACTCAACCCTGTTCCATTGTTCTGCAGTTCTGCCTTTGTTCCAGTACCATGCTGTTTTAATTATTACTGCTTTGTAGTACAGTTTGAAGTTCGGGAGGTTGATTCCTCCCATTTTCTTTTTCCCAAGAATTGCTTTAGCTATTCGTGGGGGCTTGTTGTTCCATATAAATTTCAGGAGTGTTTGCTCCATTTCTTTGAAGAATATCATGGGTATCCTTATAGGGATTGCATTGAATTTATACAATGCTTTCGGTAGTATTGCCATTTTGACAATGTTAAGTCTCCCGACCCATGAGCAGGGGATATCTTTCCATTTCCTCATGTCCTCTTTTATTTCCTGAAGTAGCGTTTTGTAGTTTTCTTCAGAGGAAGGGGTGGTCCGGCAGGCAAGTGCCCGGACTCTGGCGCCCGAGCGCGCAGGTTCAAGTCCCACTCAGACCATTTTTATGGCATTAAGTATCACAGGTTCTGTACTAACTAACCAAAAAAACCCTTAAAATTTAAGTATGACCTGAGTATCATGTAGTTTTTCTTCTTTATGCTCATCTTTTATTTCATTCCAGGCCTGAAATTTTTTTTTATTTTTATTTTTATTTTTTATTTATTTTTTTTAAATTTATTTATTGAATCACTGTGGGAAAGGTTACAAAGCTTTCAGGTTTATGTCTCAGTCATGCAAATATCAAACACATTTCCCTTTACCAATACTTATTTTTTTACCCTGAAGAACCCCAATAAAACCCCACTCCCCACCCCTCCCCGTCCCTGTGAGGCAGATGAATTCTAGTTAACACTCTATCTGCTTTGATTAGATTCATTGTTTCAATAAGATTCACCACTATTATTTAGAGTTTACCCCCCCCAAATCAGACATGCTGAAAAAGCATTGTGAAGTGATTTGCTTTCTACAGCTGGGTTCAAGAATTAAATGTTGGTTTTGGATTTCTGCTACTTTACCTATTGACCCTGGAAGTATTTCTACTGAAAGTCAGATAGTTAAGAAATTGGTTTCTGTGTTCTGGAGTCGTGGCCGTGCTGGAGAGCTGCTCGCGGGGGGCAACTGGTGGCCTCGGTAGGGCGTGAAGGGCGGAGCGAAACGCCCCCCTTCCCATGAGGTTTTAGTCACCCCCACACTTCCTGCTCATACCTGCTGTCCACAAGGCTCCCATGTGGCCGCCATCTTTCTTTCCAGAGAGGAGAGGGCGAATGGGGCAACACCCTTTCCCCTCCGGCAGACTTGATGGGCTGGATCAACGCATAGTCCGTTCACTTTTCTGCTCCAAGCTGCTGGGTTCTGCATTAAGTCCTTGTGCTTCTGGGGCCATGGCTGTGCTGGAGAGCCGCTCGCGGGGGGTGACTGGTGACCTCGGTAGGGCGTGAAGGACGGACCGGAACGCCCCCCGACCCATGAGGTTTTAGTCGCCCCCACTCCCCCGGCTCATACCTGCTGTCCACAAGGCTCCCATGTGGCCGCCATCTTTCTTTCCAGAGGGAGGAGGGCGGAAGGGAGCAACACCCTTTCCCCTCTGGGCAGAAATGATTGCCTGGATTAACGCATAGTCCTTTCACTTTTCTGCTCCAAGCTGCTGGGTTCTGCATTAGGTCATTGTGCTTCTGGGGCTGTGGCCGTGCTGGAGAGCCGCTCGTGGGGGCAACTGGTGGCCTCGGTAGGGCGTGAAGCGCGGACCGAAACGCCCCCCTTCCCATGAGGTTTTAGTCGCCCCCACACTCCCGGCTCATACCTGCTGTCCACAAGGCTCCCATGTGGCCACCATCTTTCTTTCCAGAGAGGAGAGGGCGAATGGGGCAACACCCTTTCCCCTCCGGCAGACTTGATGCAGGCCTGAAAATTTTATGTATGTTTTAAATAAGTGTGAGGTGCCTGGGAAGTATGTGACTATTCCTTCTGCTGATTTTGGCACAAAAAAGACAATTAATGGCTTTTGTTTTAAATTAGAATTATTTTTTATTTGGGGGTCCTTTTTCATATTAATCTTTCTTAAAACAAAAAATTAGAATAACACAACCTAGTAACTAGAACTTTCTGTTTTCTTCTTTGCAGAGAATCTGTTTTTATCAATCTAGCTAAGAATTCCAACAAGACAAAAAGCTATTACCAGGATAGGTTTTCAGATTACAGAAAAATGCAGAAAGCAAGAAGATCAGAGCCCAGGATTTCCAGAATGATGGAAGAGAAGTCTTTGGAAAGCCATAGATACAGAGAAGTGGTTGATTCCAGATCCAGATATAGAGTGTCTAGACCAAGATTTCCATGTCACACTTTTAAGGTATGCCCAAGACCATACAATATTTCACAAACATCAGAAAACAAGCTGTCTCATCGCATACCAGATACTTCAGAGAAGACATCTGACTCTTTTCAAGATGAACTTGAAGATTACATCAAACAGCAGAAAGCCAGAGGTCTAGATCCAAACATTCATTTCAGAAAGGTAAAAGAAATCTCTAAAGAAACACGAAGTTATAGAGAAATGGATTCTGGATACAGACAAAGAACATTTGATAAAAATTCTTCATTTGATACTTTACATACTTACCAACAACCATATAATAGTTTTCCAGTGGAAAAGAAGTTACCTTACTGGCAACCAAGTCATTCAAAGAGATCATCTGATTCTTTCCAAGATGAACTTGAAGATTATATCGAAGTGCAGAGAGCCAGAGGACTAGAGCCAAAGACTTGTTTTAGAAGGATAAGTGAAAGCCCAATGACAGTCCGTAATAACAGAGAAAATGTTAGTTACATATTTAGAAATACAATGGTTGAACAAAAACTCCCTTTTGGGACTTTTCAGTCATGTCCAAGATCATACAATGTTTCACAAATAGTGAAGAAACAGTTACCTCCTCAGTGCTTACCAGCTCATGATAGCAGACAAAGCCTAGACTCTTTGAATTATTATCAATCTACCAGAGACTATTTCTCAGAAAATGTGGCATCTCTGAGCCTTAGTGAGCGAAAAACTAACTCTGGCTCCAAAAGTGTAGAATATGAAGTTGACAAACATGTTTCCTCGGAAATAAATACTAGTGAACATCAAGTAGGACATAAAAGGAAACATCAGAAGAGAAGTCACCATGAAGAATACAAAGAAAAGTCAGAGAAGGAACAATCTAAGTATAAAAGAAAAAAGGATAATGAGGATATGGATCAACACAGGATCAAGAGCATACAACAAAGGGAAAAAGAGGGAGATAAAATTCCCTCAGGAAAATCTAAGTATCGAAAGAAGAAAAAGAAGCACCATGTACACTCTGAGAAAGAAGAATGCAAACACAGGAAAAATAAAAAGAAATCTGTTGAAGTAAAGTCAGAAGAGGAAATGCTTTGGGATGAGTCTATTCTTGGATTAACTTTAGGTTCAAAAGATGAAGAAATGAAATAAGAATATGGCATCAGGCTAAAACAGAAACATCAGTGAAGAAAAGAAGAGGTAGGTATTTAGTAAGATAAGGTGAAGTTGGTGTAAAAATTTAAATTAAGTTGAAAGAAGAAACAATCCTAAACTTACCCTCTAAGAAAGAAGAGCATAAGAGCAGATCCAAAACATGAAAGAAGAACATTGAAGAACAGTATAACCACTTTAGGAAGAAGAACAGTATAGCTGCTTTAGGATGTCTCTGTTGTAGGAATTTGAGATCAGTTAATAAAATAAATTTAAACAAAATCAAGATGGAAAAAAGAGAGGAAAGTGCACTACTTGTAATTTCAGGAAAATTATTTTTTGTGAAAAATTGAAATTGTATTGAAATAAGAAGCAAATATGCCTATGCCTGATTTTTGAGAAAGAACATTAAAAAAAACAAGGAAAGAACATAGGGAACACAACAAGTTGTTCCTTAAAGAACTAAGTTGAAGATTTTGGTTCATCAATTTCATGTTACTTGAATTTTGCTAAATGGACACTTTAACAAAAGGAAGTGAATGAAAAATATTCAATACATCTTTTTTCTCATTACTGTTCCTCATTTTCTTTGAAAAATAGAGAAAATTATGTTTCATAAATAATGCAATTTCCCTTAATTATTTTCAAAAATTGCTATGATAGTGAATTGCTTTCATGTTATACGATTATTTTAAGTGATATAGTAATCAGACATTACAAAATCGATCTCTTGTTTGAATTTGTATTAATATCAGTGGTATTCTACCACTGTTCTATTGTTATTCTATTTTATTGTTGTGCTTGTTTATACTCTTTTTGTTTTATCTCAGGAAAATGTGAGTGGTTGAAATTTGGTTCTGTTGTTGTTAAGTTTAATTTTCAGTATATGTTTGTTTTTCATGCTTCTGTTAGTGCAAAATGAAACAATCTATAAGCTTAGAAAATATATAGTTTTTAAAAAGTTTTTAAGTGCTTGTACAAAATCCATCTATATTCTGGAAATGTTTACATTATATTAAAGTGTTTTAATTTCTACATTTTGTTCTACATAAATCGTTATTTTTAATCAAAAGAGGACTTAATTTGGAAACAGGAATAGAGAGAGTTAATAGTTGGCAAATTTGAAGAGATCACACTATAACACTACAATAATTTCACTCCTTATCTTGCTTAGTAGAAGCCAATATTCAGACTTAAGCTTTAAGTTAGAAAAAATATGGCTATCTAAATAATTTAAGCTGAAGAAATAATAATGTATTTGTGGAAGACAGCGGTGACAAGTTATTATCTAAGTTTTTTATGTGGTGATTTGTTTTTACTCTGATGTTATATCATTTATAAACAAGTACCTCCTGTAACCACTTTGGAATCACCAAGGTATAGTAGAAAGAATAATAACCTGGGAATCCAAATACTAAGATTCTCAATTGTACCATCAAGTAGCCATGTCACCTTATTTGTATGTATACCATTAGAATACAACATGGAGTCATCAGGAATAGAAAAATTAGGTCATAGTAGTCTCTTGGTGTCTTAATTCCTGGATATCTAATAGGTTCCTCAAACAGTATAGTCAAACCAAGTACCTGCTTTTTCCATTCCAATCATTCATTTCTTAGTTTCATCTGTTTCTATAAAGACATCCAATTGTTCAAACCAAGAACCATTTTAAGCACCTGTTAACTAGCAGTAAAACAAATGTCAGTGAAGGAATAAAAAAAAACACTTAGATGATACTGCTAAAATATCTCCCTTAATGTACATTTTTTTCTGAACTTTCATTGCTCTAATCTGAGACATTATTCCCTGATCAAACTGGGAATATAGGTTTGAAAGAAACACTGAATGAAGTTATCATTGCTTCTGAAGGCCAGGTTAATGGGAAAAAACTGTGAAGAATAGTCTAAAGATCAGAGAGTTGAAAAGTCCTCATGATTTCAGGACTATCCAGCATTTAATCTCTGGGAGATAAAACTCACATAAACAAAGGAAGAAAAACCGCTGGTTTCAGAAATCAAATTTTGCAAAGTTACAAACGTCGTGAGTAATGGAAAGGGATAGTTCCTGTAGTAGTGGATGAGATGAAGATCCAGAAAAAGCAGATCCCAGAAAGCACTATGATGGCAAAATTAACTTGTCAATGTGAAAGTAACCCTTGATAGGCAGAAATTGTAGGAGATGATTTTAACAGAAAGATGCAGACAGATGTTAAACAGAAACTCTAGGCTATGTTTTCAAATTAAACTGAAAGAATATATTTAGCGAATTAAAATAGACTAACTCAGTGTCTAATGCCAATTTGTTTGGCACCTTCAACCTCTTCAGCTGGGGTCGGTGTGAGAGAATGAGAACAAACACACATATACTGTCCAAACTTTAGAGGTGTCTGAGCAGCCTCAAGGTAGCACACAGGCTGGCAATGATTCACCAGAGTATCACTTCAGCACCACTGTTCTTAGCATGTGAGTTATTATTTAAACTTCCATAGATGTTAACAATTAGGAAGCACATCAAAATTCAATGGGCACATTAAGAGTGAAGAACGGAATATTTCATATAGCCAATTAGCAGGCAACCTTAAAATTTAGAGTAAGATCATGGCAGTTTACTATTCTGTTTTTCACCACTAGAGAACCCCTAAGGGCTAGAGCAATAGCACAGCAGGTAGGGCATTTGCCTTGCTCATAGCCAACAAAGCCAACCCGGGTTAGATTCCTCCGCCCCTCTCAGAGAGCCCGGTAAGCTACAAAGAGTATCTCGCTTGCACGGCAAAGCCTGACAAGCTCCCTGTGACGTATTGAATATGCCAAAAACAGTAACAACAAGTCTCACAATTTGTTGTGAGTCGTTACTGGTACCCACTCGAGCAAGTCGATGAACAACGGGAGAACAGTGCTACAGTGCTACAGAGAATCCTAAACTATTTTATTTTATTCTATATTGGGGGTATTTTTGCTACCTGTTTATATTTTGTTCATTCCTGGGTGCATATTTGCTGTCCGTTCATTTTTTAATACTTAAAATTTCCCTGCCCCAGGGACAAACCCAATATTGGGATTAGGGTTAGAGGGATGAATTTCCTCATCAAGAATAGAGCCCAGAAATTAACAGAAGGATATGAAACAAAAATTATTGCTTAGGAAATAATTACGGAATAAAATTCATAAGTAAAAATTAAATTAGTAGTATAAAAGAAAAGAAGAGGAACTGTCGTAAATAGAGTAAGGAAAATAACAGAAAAAGAAAAATGAAGGGCCAGAGAGAAAGTACAGCTGGTAAGTCACTTGTCTTGCAAATAGTTTACCAGGGTTTGATCTGCAGCACTGTATATGGTTCCCTAAGAACTGCCAGGAGTGATCTCTGAGCACAGAGCCAGAGGTAATCCCTGAGCACAGACAAGTATGACCAAAAAACCCCAGAAACAAAACAAACAAAAAAAAAACAGCCCCCAGGATGCAGTTTTAAAAAAATCACACAAATAATAGATAAAAGACAGTCAATAGAGTTACAAGTAAACTTATAATGAGTCCTATATTGTGCTAGCCTGAACTTCCACAACCCTACCACAATTTTTCAGTATAGACACTCATTAAACAACTTCTAAGGTAATTGCTTTGTCTGAAAGGAACTGCATCTCAAGTCCATGACTTCTAACAGAAGTCATCATTCAATGGTGGGATAATGTAGGTTTACAAAATTCATGGCTTTCTATGTCAATTTCCGGTGACTGAAAGATAATCCTAGTTCCTGAACTCACTATGTTCAGATGTTTGTTAGAACATTCTTTAATTTCTCCATTAATTCTGCTTCCCTCACCTCACTACTTCAAAAGTGTTTTTGTTTTTTGGTTTTAGTATCCAAACAATATCCACCGCAAAAGCATTTTCTCCCAGAATGTTACCTATTACAAGTAGGATCAGCAATAATTCTTGCGAATAGACACCAAAATTGTAATAGAAAGTAGGTGATGAGAATCCTGTCATTAGTAGTGGGTAAAATACTAATAATGGTCTACAAAGTATTATTATAATGTGTTATAACATGTTATATTATAATTACAATAATATACCTATTAAAACTTCATGGCTGATACTAATAGAACGGGATTTATATTTTACACAGTTGAGAGGATTTGGGTGAATCAGTTATGCACAATTTCCTGGCCTGGCGAAAGTCATTGATGCATGATAGAAAGAAAATAAAGACTAAGAAAATGAATAATTTAAGGCAAAATAGGAAAGTCAGGAGGCATCCTTGGTAGCACGTAAAGGGACATGATTTCTTTCTCTTCAATTTTTTTCTCCCATCAATACTTTAAAATAAAAAGAAACGACTTATTTTTTAATCATTTCTCATGTAGTTTGTACTTGTCTTTACCAAGGTGTCATGATCTACACTAGCAGTAATAGTAATGTTTTAAGCCAACAAAGCTACTGTACTACACTTACCATCATAATGCCAGTATCCCTGTGAGCATGTTGAAATTGCAATGGTGGTATGGTTCTAGGATCACCACATAGCATACAAATGCCCAGTTAAAATGAAATTTTGAAGAAAAAATTAATTTTGAGTATAGCACAGCGGGTAGGGCGTTCGCCTTACAAGCGACCAACATGGCCGACCCGAGTTCGATTCCTCCGCCCCTCTCGGAGAGCCCGGCAAGCTACCGAGAGTATTCGATATGCCAAACACAGTTACAACAATGGAGACGTTACTGGGCCCGCTCGAGCAAATCGACAATCAACGGGAGGGCCTTTTATAAATATCATTGAACCCTTTGGGCCAAATTTATATTATAAAAATCCTATTTACGTGAAATTCAAATTTAACTGTTCAGACATTGTTTTATTCCAGTTGTATTCCTGTTCTACTTCTTACCCTTTTCTCATGTCCTTACACTCCAACTTATTTTGGCCACAATTTTTTCTATGACCACAATTTTCTTTAATTTTCTTTTGAGGGATTAAGTTTTTGGACCACACCCAACTTTGCCCAGAGTTTACTCCTGGCTTTGCACTCAGGGATTACTCCTGGTGATGCTCAGAGGACCGTAGGAGGTGCCATGTATTGAACATGAGTCTGCTGGGTGTAAGGAAAGTACCCTATCCACCATATAATCTCTTTGGTCACACA